AAAGGATATCATCAAAGAGCACTTCACTGTGCAGCACAGAGTCCAGGTCCAGTAACTCAACAACCTGTCCAGATGTCCAGGGAGAAGATGCCCTGGAGGGGATGTTCACAATTTTCATGGCATTTTTCGTTTGTGGCCTGGGGATCTCAGTGGTACAACCCCTGGGATTATCATACTATGATGATAATGTCAAATCCACGCATGCGCCTTTGTATCATGGTACACTATCTGCAGCAAGAGTGTTGGGGCCATTTTTTGGCTATGGCCTGGGGGCTTTGTGTCTGAGGCTTTATGTCAATCCTTGGGATCCTCCTCCTGGAGTCACTTTGGAGGATCCCAGATGGCTCGGGGCCTGGTGGCTTGGTGAGTGAAGTGCATTGGATTTTTAAACAAACATACAAGGGTTGTCCCAGTTGGAAGCAACCTCTGATATTTTTGGATTAGCTATGATTGTAAAAAAAATCAAATAGCCCATGATGATGTTTAAAAGTTGCAGAATTTATTTTGGATTTTTTCAAGTATTCCAATTTCTTGCATGTTGATAAGAGCAAACTTTTCACTTGAAGCCAAAGCTTTCCAACAATGTTACAGGGTGCTAAAAATGTGTCACAAAAGAAAAAAATTTGAATTTGTCCATTATTTTAACCATTATCTTAAATTAGAAAAGATAATGGGTAAAATAACAGCAAACTTCAATAGATTTCGTAGAACTAAAATTGTATGAATATTCAAAAGTTGATGGAAGAATACTATATCCATATCTTTTTAATGCTTCTTGATTTACAGCCCAATGTCTTCAGCAACTAAACATGCACCAATTGATACATTTTTATCAACTTTGCCCACAGGAGCATTATTAAGAATCATAACTTTTTCTTGACTGAAATGTGATTTATTGAAATCCTCAAAAACATCATGAAGAATATTCTTGAATATATTTTAGATTTAGAAGCATTCAGAATCTGAAGACAATTGAATGTTTTTTAAGTAAACCTACTTGTTCTCTTGCTGTGATCAATGATTTTTAAACTGTGTGAGAGAAAAATTCAACAGTGCCCAGGATGTGGTCTGATAGTAATCTGAAAAAATCAGAAAATGAAATCTGCCTCCTTACACAAGACCAAAAATAACAGATGCCTTAAAAGACTCACAAACAGACTCAAGTATTTGTCAGAAACAACCAAATGATCACAAACTAATTTTTTTCACTGATCTATTGACTCAGTGAAAACTATAAGTTGACTATAAGTTTTTTTTTATTTAAATTCAACAGGTTACCTCATTCTTGGATCATTAATGATTGTGATTGGAGGATGCTTATTCATATTCCCAAGAAAGTTACCAACAAGACCAAGTAAGAAAATCAAGGTTCCAGTAGAAGAGCCAGAAAAACCAGAACCTGTCAAGAATGGAGGAAATTCCACTTTGGAGAATAAAGGAAAACCACATTTTGAGAGTGAAGCAGCAGAAGAGGATATTCTTTCAGGAGCTCTGGATCCAGGACCCACTGAATTGCCTGCATTAAAAGGGGAGAAGTTGAGACATTTATTTTTTAGTTGAAAGTGTGCCAAGATTACACAATTAAATATAAATATTTTCATCAGTTTATGAATCAGCATTATTACTGGCAGTCATCAGTTTTCAAAATACTTAATAAAGACTATTATTATTATTATTCTCTTACTGTATCAAGATTTATGGTTCAATTTCTTTTCAGGATCAATTTTTTAATGATTCACTTTTATTTATTGATTTACTTCATTTTAGTGATTTACTTTCTTTTAAATATTCTTTGTTATACATTTATTTATTTAAATGATTATTGCTTTTTTTATATTAGATTTTGCTTCTTTACAGATATTCCTGTGGCACTGAAAAGACTTGTGACCAACCAGGTATTCTTATTCCATATCATTTCTATCAGCTTCCACCTGCTGGCAAACATAGGATTCTTTTCTTTTTCTCCAAAATACTTGGAGTCTCAGTTCAGAAAGTCTGCATCAACTTCCAGCCTGTCAGTGGGTGAGGAATTTCAAATGAATGCTTTTCTAAAATTGTGCACATAAAGAGCCCTGATTTCTTATGCTGAACTCAGGTGTGGCTGGAGTGTTGGTTATGGTGATTGGAATGGTGGGCGCAGGCTTTTTCATCAAGAAATTCAGACCAAGTGCAAGAACTGTCACTGGGTATCATATACTAGTGACAGCTTTCAATATTGTTGGGATGTTTGGTGCCATTGGTATTGGGTGTTCTGGTCTGAATCTGTTTGGCACAACAGATTCAACTTCTGGACAGTGAGATACACTTTAAAAAATAGCACATTCTAAGGGCAATATTGACTGTTATATTTTCTTTTCAGAATGCAGATGCATGCGCCTTGCAATGCTCACTGCAGCTGTAGCACAGCTGAGTACAATGTGGTCTGTATGGAGCCAACCAATGTACATTTTTACAACCCTTGCTTTGGAGGATGCACTGGACAACAGGTCATCAGAAAACTATCCCCAGACGGTAGCTTTGTCAACAAAACAGTAAGTTCAAGCACAAAAACATTCCCAACCAACATCATCATTATAGAATGAATGAATGAATGAACAGAAAACTGTATTTGCAGCTTTTCAGCATTCACAAGGCATAACCAGAACTCCTGCATCCAAACCCCCTCCCCACCCAACCCAACTCCCCAAATACATTCAATAATTTCAAAGCATGAAACAAAGCACAAACCAATGACAAAAATAAAAGAGAACACACTCCACAAAATAAAACTGACATCCTACACGTATGTTGCATACACTCACCCATCCCCAATATTGAAGACAAAGCAGCAGTAAAAGTTTATTTAAAGCACAAGGTCTTCAGCCTGTTTCTGTATGAGTTTTAGTTCAATGAACAATTTAGAGAGAATCTTTGATGAGATATCATATAAGGTCAAAAATTTTTCTTGATCCTTTAAGAGTTCCAAAAGTGTCTCTTCATTGAATTTCAGTAATTTTAAATCTTTCTTAACGGAAAACAATTGATCTTCATTCATTACAGAATAAACATTGTCCAGAGACAAGCATGTGCACATCATGGCAAAGATCAATTTCAAATTGTAAAAGTATTCAAGTCGTGCTTCACTAAATTTTTGGTTTGTTGAGTGGGACATTTTTTGTTGGAACACAAAAGTTCATCAAACTGAGGATATACAACAGTGTTACCAAACCTGTGGTCTGCAGATAAGCACCAATCCACATAAGTGTTTTGCCAGTCTGCAGAGTATTTCCTCTTGTACAATAAATTTATAAAAAATGGCAACAAATTCTGTTATCTTTATCTGAAAATTTGTGAAGACAATGGCAGCTGGAATTATCTGATGAAAAAATAAAAGTTGGCTTTTCTCCAAATAATGCTTCAGACAATTTTTGCTTTCTGAAAAAAATGTAATCTTTGATTTTGAACCCCACCTTACTAATCTATCAAGACATTCTACTGAAGCTGCTTCATGGTTCTTTGCTTAATTTGAGCAACAACAAAAATTTTTTCATACCTCCCAAAGGTTTTTTGCTTATCAAACAATTTTTTTTATTTTGCAAAAATTTTATAGAAATTTGCCAATCCATACAGGCTCATAAAGGTTTGGGAACACTGGTTTACTGCACAGTACTTTTTTGGGATAAGCAACAGCAGTAATATAACAAAGTGATTCTTCCTATCATAAAAATTGTTTTTTGCTTCTGATGAAGGTCTACACAGGATGCACTTGTGGTCAGGCATCAATGAATTTCAGCACATCTTTGCCAATCAATGCAACCTCAGATCTGACAGCAGTTGTTCAAGGGTATTGTAGTTCAGCCACATGTTCCAATTTTGCGAGTTACTTGGTCTTGATAGGCATCATCAAGACAGTGACATCTACTTCCAGAGTTGGAGGACTCATGATCACAATAAGGTTTGCATTTTTCACATCAAGTTCCTTGGATGAGATACACAAGAGTTGAAGCATGGCAAATTAATTTTTGTTGTTGAAAGATCTGTGGAAAAGAGGGACAAGTCCTTGGCAGTGGGATTCTCTCTGGTCATGTTTGCCATTTTGGCTTTCATCCCAACGCCAATCTTGTATGGTGCCATTATCGGTGAGAATGTTGATTATTTTCCCACACTGCCAGTGGGCCAGTGTTGAAGGAGACCAGTTATCAAAATTCCCACCCATTCCAGATTCCACTTGCTTGATATGGAGGGAGACCAAGTGTGGGACCAAAGGAAATTGTGCCTTCTATGATGCCAACAAGTTCAGAGTGGCTCTACATGCCACTCCAGCAGGTGATTATTCTTTGATTTTATTTGAATGTGAAGGGAGGGATTATGAAGTTTGATAAGTAGCTGCCAATTAATTAAGAAACCTGCAGCACAGAATACTGTACATCTTTTTTCCTTTGAAATATAAAATACAGTTTGGATGCTCTCAAGTTCAGCCAGTTGCTTATAATTGATTCAGAATCCTTATAAATACATACTGCATGCTTTTCTTTAAATCAAAAGCTCAAATTAGAGGGTGTACACTTTAGACAGCAGCTTTCAATTTCATAAGAATCCTGCAGCAGGGAATTCTAAAAATATTCTATTATCTTTGAAATTAAAATACTGTATCAGAGAGGAGGAGGCTCTCAAGTTTAGCCACCAGCTTGTCATTGATTTAGAATCCTTGAACAGATAATGCATGCCTTCTAAAATTAAAATCTCAAATCAGAGGGTCTAAATTTTAGACAGTAGCTGTCAACTGATTTAGTACCCTGCAGCAGGGAACACCTGATCATTTAAAAAGAAATCCAAATAACAAAGAAGAGGTTTTTAAGTTCAGTATTCAGTTAAGCCAGTATGTTGTAAATGATTTAGAAACCTTCAGCAGATAATGAATCTTTTTTCGAGTCAGAATCTAAAATCCGAGGGCCAGCCTAAATTTCAGACAGTGGCTTTCAAT